GATTTAATTAAAATAATACAATAATATATATATATATATATATATCAATACTAGTATTTTTAAATCATGTACTATACAAAAATATTTTGTCAAAAATATAAATTTTAAAAAATTATTTTAATGAATTAAATATTTAATGTATATAAATTTAAAAGAAAGAATTTGAATAAAAGATAAATGGTCATAATAAAATTTTATAACAAAGAAATATATATGTATATAAAAAAAATATACTTTTTTATCTAAAGAAAAATTAACAAATAAGAATTAACAATAAATTTTTATCTTTTATATCTTTTCAAAAACTTCTTTGAATATAAATAAATAGTAAGAATAATATTATTTAGATTCAACAGATTATAATTGTGCTTGTAATGCACATGTTGTATAAAAAAAATATTATTTTAAATTAAAATATAAAAAATTAAATTTAAATATTATCAATAAATAATAAGTTTACGGTAATAGTAGATGGTTGTAAAATTTATAAAATATTTATATTATATTTAGTATTTATCATTTGCTTTATGATTTAAATATCAATATAATTTTATTAACAAAAATATTTGTGTGAAAAATATTTTATATATATATATCACATATAAATAATATTTTTAAAAAAAGTCAATCTCATATCAATTATGTAATAATTAAATTTTATTAGCCTAATTAAATGATATAAAATAGTAAATAAATTTTTCTATTAAAAATATAAACCAAAATAAATTTTTTAGTTTATTTTATTATTAAATATATTTTTATATTAATCATATATAACTTCATATAAGTAGTATAATAATAATATAAAAATTCAATACATAGTTATAGAACAAAGTTAAAGCATATATATATATATATATATATATATATATATATATATATATATATATATACAGGTATGGAGCAGAGTGAGTACTTAGATACCTATACCTGCACCCATTCCTATTAAAATTTGTGAGTTTTTACCTACACCTATACTTATACTCATATAGCGAGTAAATATCCTACTCATAGTGAGTAAATTTTACGGGTGCTCTTCAGATACTTTATCTGTTGTCATCTCTGTTCCCAAACTTATTTTTGATTTAAAATCATATTATTTTAAAGTTTTTCTAATTTTTTTTAAAATAAACTTTCATAGCGACTCTCTGATTTTTAAAAAAATATTTTTATTCTTAAAAGATATTTTTTTTAAATATATTTTTTATCATAGCATTCTGTCTGGTTGCGATAATTTCATTTATTTACTATATTGAAAACATAAAAATATAAAATGATTAGCAATTTTTTTTCCAAATATTTAACCATTGCAATCACCGGTGGTATAATAATAATTATTTTTAAACATTTAAGCTTAACAAAACTGTATATTTATCGATTTATTTTACAAATTTGGGAGTTATTCAATCGTAAGTTACCAATTTTTTTCTGTATGTCGCAACTTTGAGCAAAGCTGTCACTCACCGACTAATCTGTAGATGATAAGATCATCAGCAAATCTATAATAGACAGACAATCATATTTTTTAAAAATTTATATATGTTGAGATAATCGAGTAATTAAAAGGGGAAAGAAAACAAAGGAAAAAGTTGAACAAAACTCTAAATTATTGATTTTTTTCTGAGCACTTTTAGATCAAGGCATGGCATCAATTTAAGAAAGTAAAACTCTTTGAATTCAAAAAGTACCTATTATAATTGTTTTCTAAAAAATATATAAGACAAAAGAATGACACATAATTCAAAATAAGAAGTGTTTCAGCTTTAAAAAAAAAACTATAAGAAAATCATGTTTAAAAAGATGAAATGAATATTTGAATTCACAACTTATAAAATACAAAATCATATCTAGAGTTATTAAAATAGGCCATTCAACCTAATGAGTTTCAGACTTTATCTATCGAGTAATCATCATCTATCTACATTTTATTTAGATTACAAAATAAAATAAAAAAAAAAGTAAACCCAGTTTAAGTTTATATTTTATGAATAAATACTAGTCTAAGTTAAAAACAATAAAAGAGAAGTTCAAGTAAATCAGACTAAAAATTTAAATTAATTTAAACTTAAAATTTATATTTATATTTTAATATATTTAATCCAACTAAGGTGATTAAACCTAACCATTTTACCAACTCTAATAATTTTTTAGTTTACTCTATGGGCCTTGTACGCACTGTTAATTTAGATGATTTTTATACGTTGTTCTCGTCTCCATATTTGAATTGGTAGTGATTCTGTCGGTGAAGTTGAAAGTCGTGAGACAGCAACTTCTCTTGCTTAAGATAAGAATAAAGCACGTGAATAAGACGAAATATAGTATTACACCCTTAAGAAATAAGTAGATAAAAACTAATTCAAAAGTAATGGGTGAATAAAACTTGTCTTTATATATACAAGTTAATAAATATGATAAATTAAACAAGCCCCATAGGGCATGACAAAACTCTCCCATATGGTAAAATTATTTCATTGACAAAGCTAAAAAGTTACAAAATTTCTCCTTTCTTTATGATGGCCATTAATTCTAAGTCGAGTTACCAGGCCATTAAGCACAAGAAATACTTCAAAATCCTCCATAATTTTTGCATTGATGCTGTTTTAGGGGGAAAAGTAAAACTTGACCTCTGCGTTGGATACATTGTGCTTTCATGACTAATCATCACATACAACAGTTCAGAAAGGTGACTAATTAGTTTATTATTCGAATATTTTTAAATTTTGTTATTGTGGTTCTTTTCTCGGAGATCAGTAATTTTCATTATTAAATTAAATTTACCTAAAATTCATTCTATGAATGAAAAAGTATATATTATAAGCATTTTTCTTCTATAATGATTTGAAGCCTTACCTGTCCCAGCATAGGAACCCTTTCATGGTGGACCACTCCTCTCCCAAAACAAACATTGATTGAACAGTCCATGCACGGAAAAAGCGAAACAATTATGGGACTCATTTTTGGACGAACGAAACTGCTAAAAATCCTCGCTTCCAAAAGGCAATAATTAGCCCCTAAACTAATATCTATTTTCTGGTAAAAAAAAATTGGTTTAAACTAGATTAGCTAGGGCATGTTTGGTTGTGTTCTGAAGCTGTCATGCATAAATCAAAAACTACTAAGTGCACCTTTCTGATACACAAGCAAATAAAATCCTAGAAGCTACTATGAGTAGCATAAAACATTATTAACTGATTCCTTTTTTATATATATATATATATTATTAAATGACTCTTTTGTATTTTTATTTAGTTCCTTTAAGTATAATAAACTTTTTATTTAAAATTCTCATAAATATTATTTTTTATTTGATTTCCCTAAAATGAAGGAATAGAAAAAAAAAACTTGTGTAACTAGATGAAAAACTTAAATAGAATGCAATATTTTGTAATAATTTTTTATATAAGAAACTTGTTGGTAAAAAAATTTAAAATAAAAGATAAAAATTTAATTTTTAAAGGATAAAAAACTTAATTACATTATCAAAATTAATTAAATATTATATATATTTAGAGATAAAAATATATTAGGTTAGATTTTACATAAATAAATTTAACTTGTTTAATAATTTTAAAATTTATGTAGGTCTATTATTTATTATAAACTTTTTATTAAGTTTAATTTAAATTTTTTAAAAGTATATTTTAATTTATTAGTGTTATTAATAACCTACTTTATATTAAGACCTTTAACAGGTTATTAAACTACTTTATAAAAAATTATTAAATTATCTAAATATGTCTTTATAAAAGTATAAGAATTATATTTAAATAAATTATAAAAAAATACTTTAAAACCTTGAATATGTATAATAAAATTATATATTTTTATTTTATCAAAATATATAATTAAAACAACACAAATATAAATTAACATTATGTATACAGATCTACCAAACAAGACTCTCTCATTTAAAAGGATATAATAGAGATATTCTTTAACTATAATAAAAAAATATTAGAATTTATAATTTAATATTTTATTTATTTTAAAATTTAATTTAATATTTATATTAAATTTTATGAGTTTTATATAAATTATTCTAATAATTTTTTTTACAGTTAAAATTGACTTATTTAATTAATTACATCTTTTAAAAATTTTAAATAAAATTTATTATTTAAATAGATTAAGTTAAGTTAAACTTTAAAAAAAACTAATTTATAAGTTCTTATCAAATAGTCTAACTTATTTTTATTCTGTATATATTTTAAAGAATTTAAAATAGTAAGTAGTAACTTTTTTAAAAAAAGTTTTATAGTAATTATGGTTAAATAATGGATAAAATTAATTATATTAATAGTAAAAAAGAGTACTTTATTTTTTAAAATTTATTTAGCTCAAAACATTAGTTATACAAAAGGAAATTCCAAAAACAATTAAAAGTGATTTAATCAAATAGATTTGAAGTATTTTGTTTCTAAAAGTCCATACAACAATATTTTCAGAATTCTTACAAAAGAATCCGATGATGATTGCTTTAATTATTATGTTATATTTGAACTTACTTTTAGGTATAATTTTTAATATTATGAACATATACTATAAAAAATTATCATTTATTAATGATATAATATTAGATTAATTTTATTAGTATATTCTTTTAATAAAATTAAATTTTTAGTACAAACATATAGTTAATGCTAATAATAAGAACATTATTTGTTAATATAAATTCACATTTTTTTACAAAACAAAGTTAATTTTTATCAGACAAAAACAAACGAAAGTTATTATAACACTTAACAAATTTATATTTGTAATAAATGTATAACTTTAGCAAGATAATATTATGTCTATTTTTACTTAACCATAAATGTATATTGTTTATTATATTTATAAAAAAACACATTTAATCATATAAAATAAAACAGGTACATTTGACTGTTGTGTTAACACCTCTATCAAACATTACTTCAATGAACAGGAAGATCCTACTATTCTGCTTTTATAAACACTTTGTCCAATTAACTAATTAATTTGTGTCCTCAATGAAATCCCAGATGGCTTCTCCCTACTTCCTCTTCCTTGTTCTTGTGGCTGCGGCTACAGCTTATGGATCAGAGCTATGCACAGACTTTTACTCTGATTGCTGCCCAAACTTGTTAACTATTGTGAAGAGAGGAGTCATTAAAGCACTTCAAAATGAACCACGCGTGGGAGCTTCCTTGCTCCGATTGCATTTCCATGACTGCTTTGTAAATGTGAGTATATATTAACACATTATTAGTGTCTTTGAATTCACATTTAAATTGCTATAAATACACGTTTATTTTAAGATTACTAGTTGCAATTTATGCTTTACATGGCTGTTTAAGTTTTTTTTTAATGTGTTTATGTTAACATTTTGTTTACACTTAACTTGGCTTATTGACACAACGATGTTCAGGGCTGTGATGCATCCATATTGTTGGATGATACAAGCAGTTTCATAGGAGAGCAGACAGCAGCAGCTAACAACAAATCAGCCAGAGGATTCAACGTCATTGATGATATTAAAGCTGATGTGGAGAAACAATGCCCAGAAGTGGTCTCATGTGCTGATATTCTTGCTCTTGCAGCTCGAGACTCTGTGGTTCATGTATTATTCTATTATTATATCTATTAACAGTGTTAAAAATATGGTTAATTAGAATTCTGTACCAAGATGCTAAAAATTGACTCTTTTTATCGTACTCTTAATTATAATTTTAAAATTTATTAAAAATTATAAAAATACAAAAAAATATTAAATTATAAGTAAAAAAATAAAATTCACATAAGTTTTAATAAAAATAAATAAATATGTTAAAAAATGTATTTCAGAATGTGTTACCGACACTTTTCATCTTATATATAAAGTTAAAAAGTCTTCCTTTCTTTTAACTTTTTGTAATAAATTAGGTTTAGTTTGATTATAAAATTATACTAAAATTTATCTAGTTTTAATGCTGAAACACCAAAACACACGTTATCTTAAGATGGTCACAATACCTTTTTATAAGAAGCTTAGTATATTTCCAATATTAACCTATTAAGCATTATCAATTATTATGGGCATTGTAAAGCAAGAGTAAATAGCACTGAGTATTTTTAAATTTTTATTTTCTGAGGATAACACTTGCAGTTAGGAGGCCCTTCCTGGGAAGTTGGATTGGGAAGAAGAGATTCAACTACAGCAAGCAGAAAGGATGCTAATGACAGCATTCCTGCGCCGTTCCTCAGTTTAAGTGCTCTCATAAAAAATTTTGCTAACCAAGGCCTCTCTGTTACAGACTTGGTGGCTCTTTCAGGTACCATAACAATCAGAGATGTACTACATTTACACGTATAGGAGCACTTTACCTCAAATTTCAAATTTTTTAATACTATTTTTATTTGGTTGTTATTTAAATTTCATTATCTTCAACCTTGCTTCCACAATCTAAATTTTTCAAGTAACAGCTGATGAAATATTTTCTATCAGTTTAAATAAAGGCTTAATCGCGTTTGGGTTCCAAAAGTTGTGCTTTTGAAAGCGTGGAATAATTGTGTCGACATGTGAACTTTCTTCCATTCATAGTTTATTTTAGAAAATGATCCGTATTTATTTAGATTTTCCAAGTGATGAACTCTTAAGAAAAGTGAAGAATTTTTGAGACTTCCTTTTCACTTTATCCAAGCTTTGTATGATAGAAAAAGTAAACTTGTGATTCTGCTTTTTTAGAGCTTTTTCCAGAAACTAGTATTTTTAACTTATAAGAAAAATTCTAAAATATTTAAAAATAAATTTATAGCATAAACAGGTCCAAAATTTATTTTATATCATGTCATCCAGTACGCAGTCATTGTTTATTGAACTGCTTTCCATTGAGGTATGAAATTGAAACCAACTTATTTTTTTACTAATTTTCTTATTATTCAGTTAATTTTTCAAATAATGCAATAAAAAGTATCTTTCATTTTATCACAAAATTCTTAATCAGGGGCATGATAATTATATTTTTCATTGTATAAAGCTGATCTCATCTCTTTTTCATTCTATTATTTCATTATTAAATATCCCATCATATTAATCTATGTATCTTTATATAATTTCTACGTCGAAGTCGATTCTACGACCCGTCCGTTTAAGGTTTGCTCCACCTATTTATTGCCAAAAACATTACCCCTCTATTCTTCTAAGCTTGTGTATGGAAATATATTTGGCTGAATATGGTTATTTCTTCTTCTTCTTCTTTTTCCTGGAGAATATAATAACTTCCCCTTTAGATTAAAAAAAACTATTCTTTTGTACAATATCTTCCATTTGCTGAATTGTGTGCTCCTGTGAAAGAACACTCAATGCAATATCTTCCATTTCGGCTTGCCATGTTCATGAAGTGTTTCAATTCACTCACAGTAACTTTCAATAACAGGGGCACATACCATTGGCTTGGCTCAATGCAGAAATTTCCTAGCACACATCTACAATGACTCCAACGTTGAGCCATCCTACCGCAAGTTCCTGCAGAGCAAGTGCCCCAGAAGTGGAAATGACGAAAATCTGGAACCGCTTGACCACCAAACTCCAATCCATTTCGATAATTTATATTTTCAGAATTTATTGAGCAAAAAGGCTCTTCTTCATTCCGACCAGGAGCTATTCAACGGTAGTTCTACTGACAATCTGGTAAGAAAATACGCTACAAATACCGCTGCGTTCTTTGAAGACTTTGCCAAGGGCATGGTCAAAATGAGCAGCATCAAGCCTCTCACAGGAAGCAAGGGCCAGATCAGAATCAATTGCGGGAAAGTCAATTGAAAACTTTAGCAAGCGATGTATATGTCTAGTATAAATTCAATTTCCCTCCTCCAAAATGATGTTTCAACTTGATCCTTGCGCTGTTTCGAAAATTATGTCAAATAACTTGACTCTTGCACTGTCAAGCAAATTAGTTTATCATCAATAAATTACCTGGTTTTACATGTATATTATATAAGCAGGACTTTGTCAAAAGCATCTCATCATCCCTGCTAACATGTGCAATCAACATAACCAGCAGACATATAGCATCAACACGGACGATAATAAGCCACATAAATAATATCAGCCTCTAATTGTTACGTTTGTTACCTAGCTATGTATCTAGAAAATATATCTCTATGCATTCGCCAAACAAGGATTTTAGATAATCATTGGTGTAAAAAAATTAAATATGAAAAGTTGTTAAGTAATAATAAAATTAAGTTTCATAATCAAAAAATAAAAGAAGAAATATATTCATATTTAAAAATAAAATTTATAGTTTATAATATATAAAAAATTAATAATAGAATACCAGCAGAATTGGACTGTTATTGCAGAACTCTTTTTGTTTTGGGTCCAATGGGCTTCCTATGGATAATTCGGGGAAGACCATATTGAACATCTCTTTCATGATTAGACTAAGTACATTTTTGTTGCATTACTCAAATGAATTGGTGATCATATGATTGATATCGTAATTCTACTGTTCTACGTACATTGTTGTTCTGTGTGATTCATTATAAAGTGACTAAACATGTCAGATTTTTCTTTTGATAGTGGAGCAGCATGCTGTGAATGTTAAGGTGAAATAACTGTTCATTTGCAATAAGAATACTGAGACAAAGCTTTTGATGGGAGATCATTGGTTCACTTGACATTGATAATTGTTGGATTAGGGTGACATTGGTCCCAAACAAAGTGATTAGAGTCCAACTTATTCATATCAACAAACAACTCTTTGTGGACACCAAAAACCATTTAACAACAAATTAAGAAAACTAAGTGTCTTTTCCATGGGCTTATAATATGATAAACCTTTTTTTTCAATTTTTAATCAAATACATTAGATCAATAGAAGGGGTAGCTTTGATTTCCCCCCTTGTTCTTGAGTCTGATAATATTAAATATAACAATCATAAAGGAAAAACAAAAAAAATTACAATCAGTTGATGATAGAGGACCCTCTACTATCTCGGTGAAATAATAATACATAATTTGTTAATTTATAATTTCAGAAAGGACTGAGGAGCTCCCATTCAACAAGCTGGGCCATATTCGGAGTAGAACTCTCCACCACTGGTATTGGCTCATCACCACCATTCTCATAGTAGCGATAAGCCGCAGCACCAGACAACACTGCCAGTGTCAATGCCTGGGCATGCATTCTGCAAATCAAAGCTGGCAAAATAAACCAAAAAGAATAATAATAAAACTTAAACATATTTTTCACCCTACATTTTGTGGTGTTTTTATTTCAATATCTAATTTTCTAAATTTAATACTTTTAATTTATGATAATGATATGACAATCAAAAGGTGCTCATGCATTAATTTTTTTTTTTATTAAATCGTGTCATAACTAGAATAATTTATTTAAAGCAATTAAAATTAAAAAAAATTATGAACACTAAAAACGTATTTAAGTTTAAAGAAATAATGGTGCTGCACCCTGAAAAGAAAACTATGTAGTTAAACATTTGTACCTGGCATGGATAAGCCTAAGACTTGGCTTCAATGGAGACGTTGAACGTGAATAAGCTAGAAGTGATGCTCCAATTCCGGAGACCCACAGTCCCCCTGTAACCAACACCAATTAATTTCTTTATAATTGAATTTATTACCAACTTTAAAATATGTGACATTAACTTACCAACTGTGGCTAGCTTGTGCTTTGAAACCCACGATTGAATTGCCTCCATGCTGATGTCTTGTGATTTAGAAATTACTTGGGATGATGAAGGATTTGGGTGATGAAAGGTGAAGGGAGGGAAAGAGGGGGTATTTATTTATAATACTTGAGTAGTGAGTATGAGAGGTTGAGGTTGTAATTTAGGTACCTTTGTGGCCCCTTGATTTGTCTCCAGGGTGGGTTTCTGTCTGTTTTATTAGAACACGGAAAGTGTTAAACAGGAGGCTTACGGTGGTTTTGTGGTAGAGTGTGTGTTTTTAAACTGATGACCCAACTGCCTTACTTGTGTGAATTGTGTATTATGGATTTTGACAATTGTTTAAGATAAATAAAGGCATGATTAATGTATTTAGAAAGAGACACCTTTTAAAAAATAACGCTTTTTTTTTAAGAAAACTCTCTCAAAAAGTTAATAAAAATAAATAATTATAAAATTTACTTGTACGAAATAATAAACACGCCATCTCTAAGGATGACAATGGGTAAAGTACCCAATAGACATCCGTAAAATTTATTCACAATGGGTAGGATATTTACCCGCTATATGGGTACGGGTATGAGTGTGGATAAAAAACTACAAATTTTAATAGGGATGGGTGTGAGTATAGGTATCTAAGTATCCACTTTGTCCCATACCCGCATATATATATATGCTTGAACTTTATTCTATAATTATGCATTAAATTTTTATATTATTATATTATTTATGTGAAGCTATATAAGATTAATATAAAAATATATTTAATAATAAAGTAAACCAAAAAATTTATTTGGGTTTATATTTTTAATAGAAAAATTTATTTACTATTTTATATCATTTAATTAGACTAATATAATTTAATTATTACATAGTTAATATGAAATTGAATTTTTAAAAAATATTATTTATATATGACACACATAAAATATTTTTCACACAAATATTTTTGTTAATAAAATTATATTGATGTTTAAATCATAAAGTAAATGATAAATAATAAATATATTGTAAATATTTTATAAATTTTACAATCATCTATTATTACCGTAAACTTATTATTTATTAATAATATTTTAATTTTATTTTTTATATTTTAATTTAAAATAATATTTTTCTATGCAACATATGTATTACAAACACAACTATAATCTATTGAATCTAAATAATATTATTCTTACTATTTATTTACGTTCAAAGAAGTTTTTGAAAAGATATAAATATAAAAAATTATTGTTAATTTATTTGTTAATTTTTCAGATAAAAAAGTATAATTTTTTTAATATACACGTATTTTTCTTTATTATAAAATTTTATTGTGACTATTTATCTTTTATTCAAATTTTTTCTCTTAAAATTAATATATATTATAAATATTTAATTTATTAAAATAATTTTTCAAAAATTTGTATTTTTAATAAAATACTTTCGTATAGTATATGAGTTAAAAATACTAGTATTAATATATATATATATATATATATATTAATTATATTATATTATTTTAATTAAATCTATTATTTTTCTTATAATTTCAAATTCAAAAGTTAAAAAAAATATTTTATGTATCCACTTTCTCTTGTTAGTATTGAACTTCTCTACTCTAACTCTATTCTTATTCTCAATATCTATCTCATTAAAACCTAACAACTATGAAACGTTATTAATTAGAGTTAGTTGTCAATGCCGCCACAAGAGATCACCAAGTGATCCCACACGAAGGGACAACCATTGTGCAGATCTATTTTGTTGTCACTCTGACATTGTCAATCGATCAAATCTCACACAAGATTGGGTTATCACTGATAAATAACTTGTGTGTTTAGTTTCACTTATTGTTTCTAAGAATTTTAGTTTAGAAAATTATTATATTAAGATACATTTAGCATTTATGATCTTTGAATATTTATTTTTTATCTATGTTTGTACCTTGTTCGGCAACTACATATTAAATTTTTGTATTATTATGCTACTTATGTGAAGTTATATAAATATTTTTTTCTTTATAAATATTTTTTTCTCAAACAAGTGCGAGTAATGGGTATAAGATGGGTATGCGGGTACCCAAAGGATACGGGTATGGAGATTAATATTCATACCCATATGGGTATGAAGTCGGGTATGGGTATTTTTTTAAAACGTGGGTATGGGGATAGGTACTATAGTACCCTACCCATACCCTACCCATTGTCATTCCTAGTCATCTCAGGAGGAAAAATCTCAAAGAAAGAAGCACCACAATTTTGACAAGTGGGTAAAGCAAAGTAATCATTTTTAGTAATTCTAAAGATGTGACTATTTGCTGATGGCAGAGTGGTCGTAAACATACTAAAAATAATGGTATATATAGAATGATTTGTATATGTTGGGAATGGGGTGTTTAGTATAATGCAACAATGTCAAGGCAAAAGGAGCATCAGATAAGATTCAATACTTATCAGTTTTGACAATTTTAATTCCATTTTATAAAACCTCTTGTGCGGTTGGGTTTTTTACATAAATAAATTTTAAAAAATTCATTATTTCCTAAATGTCCTAAAAAGAAAAAATTTACATAAATGTCTTAAAAGTGTATATAATAGAAGTTGATTTAAATCGACTTGCATTTTTTGTTTTAAATTTTTTTACACAGAAGTCGACTTTAATCGACTTTGGTTAAAATGATGCCAGAAGTGAAGTCAATTTAAATCGACTTATGTGGAATTAGTTTCACTTTTGTATAGAAGTCAATTTAAATCGACTTTGAAGAAATTTTACCATTTCTGTTTAAAAAAGAAGTCGATTCAAGTAGATTTTGGTTTAATACAGAAATCGATTCAAGTAGATTTTAATTTAGTACAGAAATCGATTCAAGTAGATTTTGGTTTAGTACATAAGTCGATTCAAGTAGATTCCAGCTTAATACTTAAGTCGATTCAAGTAGATTTCAACTTGATACAGAAGTTGATTCAAGTAGATTTCAGCTTAATACAGAAGTCGATTCAAGTATATTTCATTGCTCATCTTTTTCTTGCCCCTATAAAACACAGCTTCTTAACTTTGCATTAATTTGTTGAAAAATTCGATAAATTGAGTGTGAAAATTTTAGTAGAATGACAGAGAATAATGTTTATGTGCTTATATATTATAATGGTGAGATTGTAAACACAGTGGAGGGAGAGACATTTTGTAGCGATAATTAAGCTTGGTTAGTTGTCCGTCCACCAATTACTTTACTACAGTTGGAGAATCGAATACTGGAGGTGTATGAGGAAAACAATATACAAGTCTCAAAAATATTCCACAGGATGCCAGTCGACATTGGCCCAAATGGTATTCGATATAAAACGTGGCGAATTTGAAAAGATGAGCACATTGATCACATGTTTAGTTATTTTAACTCATTTGTTGAAGCTCATACAATAAAGCTTTTTGTCGAACTACAAGGTGATCATTTTAGCTCTAGAGGTTCAGCCTCAGATCTATTACCTTCTCCATCAAATCCAAGTCCATTAGTTGAGATGTCCCATTATGACATGCATAATTCACATGATGAGGTAGGTTCTCCAAGTTTTGAGCACTTTGTTAGACACATTGAAAAGTCATTATCACTTAATCCACAAGAAATGTGACAAGGTAGCTTGGTCAAAAATTTTGATTTTTTTGTGACACAACAAGATGATGAAAATGATGAAGAGGGGGGACCTTGATGATGAAGAAGATGAGCAATTGTTTGATGTGCAGAATTTGAATGAACACTTGATGTCAGAATCTCAATTCCAATCTCAATCTCAATGTCGACAGTGTCCTAGTCACTACTCAACAATTAATTTAGATGCAATGCATTGTAATGTGAGTGGATTTAGTTCAAGTTCGAGCATAGGAGTAGCGAATGATTTGTCACTTGGTCAAGTATTTCGCACGAAAGATGAAGTGACGTTTGCTATCAAATATTACAGCATCCGAAGAGGTGTTCAATATAAAGTTTATGAATCTGATCACATAAAATTTTATTACAAGTGTGTGAAGTTTGGCATTGACTGTAATTGAAGTATACGTGTCACTTTTTGCTAGAAATTGTAGTTATGGGAAGTGCAAAAATTGACAGGACCACACACATGTGTCTTTCCAAAGTCTATGAATCAACATGCTTAAATGGATTATAATATTATCTGTGCGCATATATACCCCATGATACAAGCAGATCCGACGACAAAAATCAAATCTCTACATGCATCAGTAGAGTCAGAGTTGAAGTTCAAGATAACATATAGAAAAGTATGGCTCACCAAATAAAAAGCTATTGCTATGATATATGGAGATTGAGAAGAATCGTATAATTAACTTCCAAGATGGTTAGGTGGCTTGCAATCTTATATGCCAGGTACTATTGTCCAAATGCAAGCTAGACTATATTATGTTGGTGATGTTATAGATTTTGGTTGCTTTATGTTCCATCGTCTTTTCTAGACCTATTCATCATGCATAGAGGCATTTAAATATTGCAAAAAATTGATTTCAATTGATGGAACACACTTATATGGCAAATATAGTGGAACATTGTTGATGGCAATTGCCCAAGATGATAACTCAAATATCTTGCCAATTGCATTTGCAGTGGTGGAGGGAGAGATAAAAGAAGCATGGTCATTTTTTCTAAGAAATGTTCGTCAGCATGTGACACCACAAGAGGGCATTCTTGTCATATCTAATAGGCATCATGCTATAAAAGCCGCTTTAGAAGCTACAAATAGTGGGTGGCATCCCCCTTCAGCTTACCATGCATACTGTTCGCGACACATTGCATCAAATTTTGCTGTAAAGTTCAAGAACAAAGGTGCAAAGCGATTGCTAATGAATGCAGCATATGCAAAGACTGAGCATAATTTCCTGTATTGGTTTAGAGCATTAGGCGATATGGATCCCGCGATGTGTGCATGGGCTAACAACATACCGCGTGCAAAGTGGGCTCAATATGCTGATAAGGGTCGTCGCTTTGGGCACATGACTACTAATTTATCTGAGTGTATGAATGCGGTCATGAAAGACACTCGCAAACTTCCCATTACAGCCATAGTTAAGTCAACGTATTATCGTTTTATTAAGCTATTCATACAAAAGGACACAAAGGCAAAGACGCAACTTACTAGTAGTAAAAAAATGTTCACAAACCTTGTTAAATGCAATTGAGGAGTATAGGCAACACTTTGGGAATATGAGTAGCACTAGAGTGACCTGCGATGCGATACGTTAGAATACTTGGTGTTTGAAAAAGATAACATGGGAAGTCGTGGTCAACGGGAATTCAGGGTGCATTTAACAGAGTTATGGTGTGATTGTGGAGAATTTTAAAAGTTGCATTATCCATGTCGTCATGCACTTGTTGCGTACTCTGACGCTCGAAGAGATTGGACATCTTTTGTTAATCATGTTTACACCATGGAGTCTGTGTTCAATGTGTATAAAACATAATTCTCTTCCATTCCTAATGAAGATATGTGGCCACCATACATTGGCCTTCCTATATGGCCAAATCCTGCACTTAAGCAAAATTTTGAGGGTCGTCCAGTTTCCACAAGGTTTCACAATGAAATGGAGAGACTGATGACAGCCAAGGAAAACGATGTGGATTGTGTAGAGATACCAGTCATACCAGACGGACATGCCCCCATACTCCATCCTCTAGCCAACATAATTGATTTAGTGTATTATGTAGTAAAAGTAATATTGTTAAGTTTAATTAGTTGCAATACACATGTTGTTTATCGCCTTATTTCCTTGTTTATCACCTAATTAGTTGCTCTCTTTTGTCTCTTTCCTAGATGGTCCATCATGTAATAGTGGCGTATGTTTTTGTGGTGATAAACAGGGAGACAAGTGATGGATTTGAAAGTGAGAACTTACCCAAGGCCAAGGCATTGACAGTTCCTTGTGCGAAGGTATATTAATTTACTATTATGTTCCCAAGTTTCTGTTATTTTATTAGGAACATCAAACTCCTTGGAATTTATGGATACTGAATTCAGTGAATCGGTTATTTAATTAGAACTTGATCTTTTATGAAATTTTCTGTGTAAATAATATTGTTTACGGTCCATACATTTTGTATACTTCTTGTTTCTCAGTTACATGTTCAATCGTGTTAAAATATATATTTTGCTATTGTTTGATGCCTATTTGCTGAATTTTCAGAAACAACGTGCTATGTCATCTGAAGATGTGTTCAAGGATCCCCAGGTGCAAGATTTTATTGAAGAACAGAAATCCTACTTTAAAATGATTGATGAATTTGAGCTGTTAGAGGAGGAGGTTGAATCTAGTGATGAGTTGCTGCAATATTTAATTGAAAAACAGAAATCCTACTTTAACATGATTAATGAATTCGAACTGTTAGAGGAGGAGGAGGTTGAATCTAGTAATGAGTTGCAGCAAGATTTTATTGAAACAGAAATCCTACTTTAAAATGATTGATGAATTTGAACTGGTAGAGGACGAGGTTGAATCTAGTGATGAGTTAGATTAGGTGGAAGATATGTAACATAGCTATAAATAGCTATATTATTTAATACTATTTGTATTTGGTTGTTATTTATATTTCATTATCTTCAACTTTGCTTCCACAATCTAAATTTTTCAAGTAACAGCTGATGAAATGTTTTCTCATTTAAAATGAAGGCTTAATCACGTTTGAGTTCCAAAAGTTGTGCATTTGAAAGCGTGGAATAATTGTGTCGACATGTGAACTTTCTTCCATTCATAGTTTATTTTAGAAAATGATCCGTATTTATTTAGATTTTCCAAGTGATGAACTCTTAAGAAAAGTGAAGAATTTTTGGGACTTCCTTTTCACTTTATCCAAGCTGTGTTTGGATCAATAGAAAGAGATATAATAGAAAAAGATAGGATAAGTAACACTATTTGTCATTATTTGAACCAAATTACAAATAAGGTGGTTGAAATTAAATAAAAATAAGGGTCCATTTATTTGATAAAAAAAAGTAAACTTGTGATTCTGATTTTTTACAGCTTTTTTCAGAAACTAGTATTTTTAACTTATAAGAAAAATTCTAAAATATTTTATAAAAAATTCTAAGTACTTTTCCAGAAACTAGTATTTTTAAACATCTATATTTAAAAATAAATTGTCTTAAAAATAATTGAAATAAACAGGTCCAAAATTTATTTTATTTTATGTCATCGAATACGCACTTATTGTTTATTGAACTGCTTTCCATTGAGGTATGAAATCGAAACCAACTTATTTTTTACTAATTTTCTTATTATTTAGTTAATTTTTCAAATAATGCAAGAAAACCTATCTTTCATTTTATCACAAAATTCTTAATCATGGGCATGATAATTTATTTTTTTTCGTTGTATCTCATTCCAATATAGCTGATCTTATCTCTTTTTCATTCCGTTTTCATTATTAAATATCTCATCATATTAATCTACGTGTCTTTATATAATTTCTACGTCAAAGTCCATTTACGACCCGTTAAGGTTTGCTCCACCTATTTATTGTCAAAAACATTACCCCTCTATTCTTCTAAGCTTGTGTATGGAAATATATTTAGCTGAATATGGTTATTTCATTTTATTTTTTTTCTGGAGAATATAATGACTTCTACTTTGGATTAAAAAAACTATTCTTTTGTACAATATATTCCATTTGCTGAATTACGTGTTCCTGTTAAAGAACACTCAATGCAATATCTTCCATTTCGGCTTGCCATGTTCATGAAGTGTTTCAATTCACAGGTGCACATACCATTGGCTTGGCTGAATGCAGAAATTTCCCAGCACACATCTACAATGACTCCAACGTTGAGCCATCCTACCGCATGTTCCTGCAGAGCAAGTGCACCAGAAGTGGAAATGACGAAAATCTGGAACCGCTTGACCACCAAACTCCAATCCATTTCGATAATTTATATTTTCAGAATTTATTGAGTAAAAAGGGTCTTCTTCATTCCGACCAGGAGCTATTCAACGGTAGTACTACTGACAATCTGGTAAGAAAATACGCTACAAATACAGCTGCGTTCTTTGAAGACTTTGCCAAGGGCATGGTCAAAATGAGCAGCATCAAGCCTCTCACAGGAAGCAAGGGCCAGATCAGAATCAATTGCGGGAAAGTCAATTGAAAACTTTAGCAAGCAATGTATATGTCTAGTATAAATTCAATTTTCCTCCTCCAAAATGATGTTTCAACTTGATCCTTGCGCTGTTTCGAAAATTATGTCAAATAACTTGACCCTTGCACTGTCAAGCAAATTAGTTTATCATCAATAAATTACTTGGTTTTACATGTATATCATATAAGCAGGACTTTGTCAAAAGCATCTCATCATCCCTGCTAACAGGTGCAATCAACATAACCAGCAGACATATAGCATCAACACGAACGATAATAAGCCACATAAATAATATCAGCCTCTAATTGTTACGTTTGTTACCTAGCTATGTATCTAGAAAATATATCTCTATGCATTAGCCCAACAAGGATTTTAGATAATCAATGATTTAAAACAAAGCAAGGGATTAAAATCATAAATTCATGAATTGTAAGAATACTATTGCCCTCCAACAAGAAATTTACGAGGGATAAGAAAGAATCTCCAAGGACAATTAATGTGTTAAGGCTAAACAATTTTAACCTTGATTATTCCCATTAGCATATTACAAAAGATTTTTAAGAACTAGCATTTTTAACCTTGATCAGAAAGATGGCACTGAGATATTTCCTTTATTGTGAAAACTATTACATCACAACTATACAATCTACCAAAACTAAGAAGTTTCAAGCTGCTATTTACAGCTATATTACATCTCTTCCACTTAATCTAACTCATCACTAGATTCAACCTCCTCCTCTAACAGTTCAAATTCATCAATCATTTTAAAGTAGGGTTTCTGTTCTTCAATAAAATCTTGCACCTGGGGATCCTTGAAGGGATCATTGAACACATCTTCAGATGACATAGCACGTTGTTTCTGAAAATTCAGCAAATAGGCATCAAACAATAGCAAAATATATATTTTAACACGATTGAACATGTAACTGAGAAACAAGAAGTATACAAAATGTATGGACCGTAAACAATATTATTTACACAGAAAATTTCATAAAAGATCAAGTTCTAATTAAATAACCGATTCACTGAATTCAGTATCCATAAATTCCGAGTTTGATGTTCCTAATAAAACCACAGAAACTTGGGAACATAATAGTAAATTAATATACCTTCGCACAAGGAACTGTCAATGCCTTGGCCTTGGGTAAGTTCTCACTTTCAAATCCATCACTTGTCTCCCTGTTTATCACCACAAAAACATACGCCACTATTACATGATGGACCATCCAGGAAGCAACAATAAAACTCCGTTCCAAAACAACACAATCTGCCACTGTATACTTGCTAATTACCTATTATTAGAGATATTTAAAATGGGTGAGCTACTAACAGGAACACCCACTTCCTTCCCTTTATCCTTCCTTCTTTTCTTCGAACAATGTCTTCGGCTGAAGACTACTGAAATAGGCGGAGAAGCTTTAACATCAACAATCCCTGAAATAAAAAAACGAGGGAATAACACACTGATTAAGGATCTGTTTGGAAGAGCTTATGAACAAGTTATGACTTTGTTACAGATAAATAAATAAATAAATAAATAAATACTGATAATTACATAGTAAGTAATTATATAGCATTGGTAAGCTCGAATGAAACATTGTTTGCATTGCAAATGAAAATAGTATCCTCATTTTTAAAATGAAGAAAATTCCGAACTCAGAAGAATAGAAACCCTTTCTACAAATTGAACGAGGAATAATTAAAGTACCGAAGGAAGGAGGTGTTTTGACCGAAGGCGTGGAAAGATTGGGCGGTGAAGGGGAACTAGGGTTTGGGGCATTACCGAGATTCGCCGTAGCAGATGTGCATTTAGTGGGAGCTTTATTGATTGCCGAAGAAGAAGAAGAAGGTTTGGATTTGGAAGTTTTGAGAGGAACAGAGGAGGGAGAAGACTGAGTGTTGGTGCAATCGGAGAGAGGCTTTCTGCGTGTGAACACTCGTCTTCGGTTAGCTTCCATTGCTGGTTATGTATGGATTATCAGTGCATTGAAGTTGAATGCGTTGGTGATTGTAAAGACGAGTGTGTGGAACTGGAACTTCAACAGTAAGATGGATGATGGAGAAGCTTATTCTTGTTCTGCGTTTTTCTCAAATAGCGGGAATTTTCAGTTGAAGAAGAAGAAGAAGAAAGCAGCGGAAAGTGTGGATTTGATTAGGGTTATATTTATAGGCCCACATTCGTATATGGGCCTCGCCAATTCATCAATTGGGCTTCAGCTTACTCTTCCTCAGTGGCTCAAGCCTTTAAGGGGTTCAAACCGCACAAGAGGTTTTAAAAAATGGAATTAAAAATTGTCAAAAATGATAAGTATTGAATCTTATCTGATGCTCTTTTTGCCTTGACATTGTTGCATTATACTAAACACCCCATTCCCAACATATACAAATTAGGTTTCTTGGTTATGAAATATTTTAAGGAACAATTACTCCAATAAAAAGTTATTAAAATTTGTTGAAAATTTTTTTAAATCAAATAAAAGATAAAACTCAATTATAAAAATTCTTAAGATATTTAAATTATATAGCAGATTTTATTCTAAACATTAGAAGAATATGTGCTTTTTTATATAAAAGATTAAGAAAAAATCCACCAACTTAGAATGAAGAAATGACTAATACTATAAAAAAAAAATTCTAGTCAAAACCCTTCCTTATATAGGAATAATACATCCTGAAACCTCTTTAGTTATAGAAACAGATGCATTTGATTTAGAATATAGAAGAATATTAAAACAAGTGTTATTTAAAAGTAATAAAGAACAAATAGTAAGATAGCATTTAGGAAGATGACATCCTGCATAACAAAAATATTCTATTGTAAAAAAAAGAAATTTTATTTATAGTATTATGTTTACAAAAATTTCAAGATGATTTTTTTAATAAATTTTTTTTAATAAGAACTGATTACAAAGCAGCACCTCAAGTATTACAAAAAGATGTTAAAAATTTAATTTTAAAATATATTTTTGCTAGATGTCAAGCTTTACTATCTAATTTCAATTTTGATATTGAACATATAAAAAGAAACACAAATTTCTTACCAAAGAATTCTTACCGGAGAAAGATGTCAAAAATGAATAATTCACATTATGGGACCTCCAAAAAAGAAGTGGGGCCACCATCAACTCCTACAAAATTAGACAAATTAAAGGAAAAAGGTATTAACTACCCTACAAGCATTACAATATGAACCTAAACTAGTTACACCAACTAAACTTACTTCAAATACATTTACAATATTATCTAAACCTGTTAGACAAAATTCTATCCATCACGATAGACAATATTATGAAAAAGAAGATTGTATTCCAATATTACCTATGGAACCAGAATGGTTTTCTCTATCAAAAAACGAGATAGCTAAAAAAATCTTTCTTTCATACTACTATTTTGTATCAATATCTTCCCAACAAAAACGAGAATTTTATGAGTTAATTTTAGTGGATACTCAGTCCATAGAACTAACTCATCACAAAAACCCAGAAACAAAAGAAATTGTCTTCTCTAAATTTAAAATAAACAAAATTTTGACAATACAAGAATGGGGACAACCTTTGTTCCATTATAAAAGTTTTACAATAAATTATCAACTAAAATAATACAATTATTTTGATTATATTTCATCATGGAAAAATATAATGTATCTCAAACCAGCTACACATTCATGGTTTATATGGTTCAGAAAAGGAATATCATTGAAGTTTTCCAAGTGGTTCCATTATTGATATTATGATTTTGGGGCCAAAATAAAAATATTTTCAGAAGAAGTCAAGACTGCTTTACAATATTTTCAAAAGAATACAAACTTTACTTCTGAGTGCCAATTATTGTCTTTTGTAGCAAGCATGGGAATAATATGGATAGTCATGTGGAAATATGACTCTGCAAAACTTCATGAACAAAAAACTATTCAACTACTAGTCCAAACAATAAAAATAAGATGGTGGACAAAGTTTAATATAGAGTTACTCAATAATAAAAAATAAACTAATGGTTACAATATCATGGGAAACCATTTCTACAAAGTTCCCAAAATAGAACAATCAAATCAGAGAAGACCAATCATGAATTTTTAACCCAAAAGACAAGATTAATTGCAAACTTTTATTCAGCCAAGACAGAAAAAGAATTTAATGAGATAATACAATTAATGTCTCCAAAGATATCTAAAAAAGGAGATCATTCTCAAAACAGTCTAAATCTATTAGAAAATTTTGAAGATCTAGCCGATGAAAATGAAAATTACTGTTATGAGATATATTTTCTGTTTTCTCAAATATAAGAGTAAAACGACAAAATTATTGACAAGAAAAGTAAGAAAAATTAAAAAGAATACAACCGAATAAACAAAAACTTGTGACCAATAAGAAAAGATAAAAGAATAGTAAAAACAAAATAAGAGATAAGAAGGAATCTCAAAATAGGAATAAACTTCTCTATAAAAGCAGAAGAAGAAGAATGAAGGGGACAGAGAGCAAACTTCTATGAGAAACCATTACTTAGAACATAAAAAATTTTCTTTGTAATCTTTCAATATTTCGATATCATCATAGCCTAAACAAATTCTAATTTTTGAGGGAAAAAAGGAGTGAGATCTGATCTGATATTAGTGTATATATATATATATATACACGCGTACGTAGACAGTGAGTTCGCATGCATGTACGAATGTCTTCCTATAATTTGTATATTGGAGTTGCATTTGCTTGAATAGCTGCATCATCCATCTTCATTACTTGATCACAAGGGGCAAGAAAATGCTATGAGTTTGTGCTTATTCTAGAAGAGATCTACAGTTAGCTAAGAGTCAAATTCAATGATATTCGTAATTTCAGATCTCTCTCTCTATATATAACACCCATGAACTCGTTTTTAGAAGATATTTATTTTAGTTTTGGCGATGCATATATCTCTGTGGTGGTGGATACAACTGACACAGCAGTCAGAACTGCAACACCGCATATAGGGCTGCTATTAAGTATTAACTGCACCCATCAGAACTTCAAATGCCGCATGCGATTAGCATCCGCCCCTTTTTCTTTTTCCGCCAACAACTATGGACGAACAATACCTGACAAAATTAATACAATTAATTGCTTCCCTAAAAGTTGTGTTTATCCTCTTGTAACATCATGCTGTTGCTGTTTAATTTTTATTTTCTTTTCTACTATCAACTCGCTTGCTACTCATGAAATATTACAATGCTGGATTATTTAAACCTTTGGAGTTATGTTAATTTGGTCATAATTACACAAACGCTTAATGTAATATTGCATGTGATATTATGTATTTAATTACATAAAATGTTATAATTTTTAATTAAAAATTATTATATATAACTTTTTATTCCTTGTAATGTTACATGGATTAAAAAAGTTATTATACAAATTATATATAGTACGCTTTAACCTCCATAACTAGTACATCTGAATAAGAGCAAAGAAGTACACATAAAGAAAGGATGTGCTAGTTAAAAAAAAAAAAAAAGAAGATAAAGTGATATGTATATAAATACGTGAGGGTAATATTATATTTTAACCATATTTCATCGTTGGATCGTCATAAAAGATTTCATGCATGAACTTGGTTATGGGCATTTGTGTTTGGTTTAATTATTATACACCATGATAAAACAAATAATGCTACTCGGGAGAGAAAAAAAATACTCCTAACGCAAGCCTTTTCTTGTAAATAACTAGATAGTTTATTGTGCCCTAACCATATGACTGCACAAAAAATCCCTAGTGCACAATACAATATTACATATGGCTATTGTAGGAAATGAAACGTCAAATATACTTCAAAGTTGACCTTAATATACGTTCGGTACTTCAGTTGTTTACCATGCACAGACATTTTACGCTGAGGGAAAGTGCAGCACCTATAAGCTACCCGGAGGTCACGTGTCTTCAATTCACCATTAATAATGCCTAAAATCCCTTTTTATAAACATTACTTGTCAATTCATGGTAACAACTAACACGTGTCAAGTTTGACCGCTTGCTATTCCAGTAGGCCATATCTTTGTTTGCTTCTTTTGTACTTTAACACCATTACTTTTAGATCTCGAACAAGGAGAATTGAGAAATGATTTTCCTTATATATTGTTACCTTGCCGTGCCATTTCATGTTTTACATGTCTCAGTCCATACTCTCACATTTCAAGTTTCACATGTTTCAATTAGTCATCTTGGTTACTCTCTTATTACATAACGGGCTGGAACTTGATTAACTCCCTGATTTAGAGTACAAAAAATGATTTGGTTTGGATGAAAAAATGTTTGCGCAAATTTTTTTTTTGAGTAGGATATTGGGTTTAAATATATAAAAAAAAGTTGGCGAATCTAACCAGAGTTCATTCAATTTGGATTGTTCAAAAAACAAATTAAGTACAGAACGTACTCAAACCAATTAAACCACAAAAGTTTTAATTGGTCTGGATTTTTTTTAATCGACCCGAAAGAAAACATACTAATGACCTTAACAATGTTTACTTAATTAATATTTCATTCATTACATGTCAGTGAATAACTCCCCATAAAAATAAATAAATCATTCAAGCAGCGCACACACATGTGTATATATATATATATATGTGTGTGTGGGGATATAGATCAGCTAGATATATGCTGCCTCCATGCATATATATGATCAACCATGCATCATCTATGTTTTAATTCTTTCTCTTAAACCGGCATGTATTTTCATTGAAAACTGCAAAAATGGAAGATTTAGAAGCCATCTTATACGAAGCTTGACTCCTTAACCAACAAATTGCCAATTAATTAGCCGACATGATAGAAAATGAAAATGCAATATATATATTTATAAGCAGACATTTGATTACTGTTTTAGTCTTGATCGGTAGTTTCGCTCCAATTCTTTATCGCTTGTCCCACTGCTTGTTTCACAGCTTGTGCATCAATAGTCTCGCCATGTTCTTCATTCTACAAAAGTTACAATATTTTGCCGTAATTATTGTGCATGAATATACACACGAAACAAAATGCAAGAAAATACTCGTTACTGAGAGAGACATTTAATGGTGACTCTGCTAATATTATTAGGGTTAAGATTTAACACTATACATGCATGACCATCAATTAATGCATAGCAACTAGGACCCTTTTCTCGCGTCCCCCAATGAGGAACGTTTTATAAAAGGACAACACATGTGACATCCAAAAGTATTGATAACACAGTGAAAATGAGAGAGAGAGAGATGAATGATACGCATGTTGAAAGCAAATAAGCATATATTGTCATAGTTTTTGTTTACTCTGTATGTGTATATCTTACTTCTCCAACTGCTTGAAATCGAAAAGTGTCTGTACAAGAAACCCTAGCTTCCAGCACTGTGAGTCTCATCTCTTCAAAGGCCTCCAATATGGAAACTAGCAGACCTGAGCACCCTTTTGCTGAGAAAACATTTATGAGAAATCCCTTTTCTAGGGTTTCCACTGTAACCTGCACAAGTCCATCATCACAAAATGCCACTAATTAATCAACTTTTTTACTGGCCAGATCTTGGAAACTTGATCAAACATATATATATTGGACTTGTTGAATATAGAGGACTCCCAATCAAGAAAATACCATAGGCAAGGGATTGTGGGCATTTGAAGTTTCTCCAGAGGCTATCTCTTGATTCAGTCTTTCTACTTTTTGCTTTAACTTTTCGATATACTTCGATGCATCAATTATGATCGAGGTTCTGTTCAGCTGCCATCAACCATGCATAAAGGCACAATAACTATTATATAATTTTTTTTTAAAAAGCTCCATATAATTGATAAGATATATACGAATATGAATTGGTTAACACTTATTAAATTAGGGAACTCATTAATCATTATAAGTTTCACTACTAAATTACAATAATATGCTTAATGTTCATAAAAAATCAACTTATTCATCCCTTGAGTTTTCTACCTAGATAAAGAAATGAGAGAATAGAAAAACAATCGAAGATACAGAAAGAATGAACATGGATTTGGTACGGTCAATAAGAAATTGTAGCTATGAAAGATTCAAATAATTAGAAAAATGGCAAATAAGAAACAGGATTCCCTTAACAAAAAATGGAATCATCAAATTCGGAAGAGGAATAGCAGAGTAGAGTATAACAATACTGTCTAACTGAACATTCTTTTAGGGAATTGGCTGATTTGCTTGAGAATATTCAAGGAGAAACCCAATGGAAAGAAAGGTATCAGAAGATAATGCAGGGAATTACAGCGTGAGAGTTAGTAATAGAACGAAGATGTTGCAGCTTCTCATGCAGTGCTGTTCTCTTTTGCTCCTTAGAAACCATTTTGCTTGCTCTCTTTCTCTCTCTTTTCTCTTATGATCGTTCTGCCTTTCTTTTTCTCTGGTACTTTTCTTTTGCTATCAACTCTGCATAGTTCTGTGGTCATTTAAAGGGATAGCTCTCAAATCCATATGATCTCATGTGTTTTCTTCCCACATGACTGTCTCAGTTTATTCATAAAGAAATACTATACACATTTTGGTTTAACTTACTAAAGTACCCTTCTGTCATTTTTTCAACTCTTTTCATCTTCCTAGCTCTAAAGAACTTCATTTGCGACTGTACTGTCATTTTAATTTTAAAGTTTTTTCATGTAAAATATTTTTACTATTGATGAAATTATAAGAGAGAAAAAAGAGTATTTAGAAAAAATCACTTAAAAAAAGAATTATAGATAAAGGCATTAATATATATATATATATATATATATATATATATATATAATGGCAATATTTGACGATTGAATTAGTTATCTTTTATAATGAAAAAATGTTTACAATTAATATATATATATATATATATATATATATATATTATAATTAACGTAGATATAGGAAGAGTGATTATTAGATTTGAGGAGAAGGATAAATTGGGGAAAATGGAATATCTGGCAGAAGTATAGAGTTGGAAGAAAGGGGAGAAGAGGAATCATAAACTCGTGATAGTGAAAAATGGGCATCGAAAGAAGTGAAGGAGAAGCAACAAAAGGGTGTTTAGTTGTGATTTTGGAATGCCTCCAAACACTCCTCACGGGGGCTTTTTTAGGCTCTCCTCCACTCTCTCGCACCAGCAATCAAATTTTTGTCCTCTTTCTCCTTCTCTCTCCACACGTGCCATCATCATCCTATAAGACACTTAAGCTCGTTTTTCATTTTTTTTTCCATCTTTAAAGTGAAATTAAAATACTTCCATTGTTCATATAATCTTCTTTTTTTATTGTTATTCTTTTTCTTTTTATATGTTATATCAATTATTTTATTTCATTTTTTATTGTGTATTTTTTTTACACACAACAATTATATAAATATAGTTTATATATCAGATTAGATATGTCTTTTATTTTCTTTACCTATTGTATAATTTATGTTTTTTACTGCTAACATACTTGCTAGTTAAAAATTAAATTTAATTATATAAAAATAAATTTGATTAATTTAATTATTCAGTTTAAATTTTTTACAAAATAAATTAAATTTATAAATTTATCTTTAATAAAATTATTAAAAATACTGTTATTACATATGTGTGTGAGAATGATATGGAATTCTGTATATGACTTAATTTATGGCAACCCAAAAAATAGCTGATTCTGCAATTACAGCATCCACTGTTTCCTAGTTTCAATTATTAGCTTCTCCAATACAGAAAAGCCTGGCAAATCATAACATTATACATCCTTTCATTCTTTACTATGGTTAAAAGAGCATTTTATCTATATTTTTTTTTTCCATTCGTAATCCTTCTTCTAATTTTTTTTGATAGTTTTAGTGGTGAAACCAAAAATATTCTAACAATATAACCCTATCATATTTAATATTTTGATTTAATGCAATATTGCACAGATAAAAATTTATATACAATAATTTTTAATAAAATTCAATATATATATATATATATATATATATATAAAATTAACTATTTGATTAACAACCTTAAATAATTTATAATAAAAGTAACAGTTTCCAATGAATTAGGAGTAACAAAATTGACGGCTATTTATAAATATAAATTATTATAATTCTGAACACGACTAATTTAAAATATAAATTTTTACATAAAAATGTGAAGATAAATTTAATTTTTATTAAAATAATCAAAATTAAAATATGAATCATATTAATTTTTAAAAAACTATATGCCAATTTTAAGTAATTATAAAATTTTAAAAAAATTAGAATAATTTATATATAATTGCTCACTTTAAATGTATCCTTTTCATTTAAAAGAAATTACCACTAAATATATACCAATCAAATCAAAGCCGAGTATAACTTAATAAACTGATTTGAGGCTTTTTATACATGGCTTGATTGTAATGTTACATTTGCACTTTAATTGTACTTAATCAGCATAGTAGTTGAATTAGAAATTAAAGAAAATATGTTGGGTGTCTTGGTTTGTAACTCTCTGGGTTAATTAAATTTATTACATTGCAGGGAACTATTGAGAGTAATGGGGTTGTGGATCTTATTAAGCAGCATTCATGATCTTGAATTGTTTCAAAAGTACGTAGGTGGTTTTATTTCTTCTTTAGATTGATCCTTTTATTACTTTTTGTTATATATAAAAAAAAACTAACGTAAAGATTAGACTGTGGAAATGTGTAGGGTTTATTATGGACATACAAGAATTGAAGTATTCCTTGTACTCTTGAATAAGTTACCCTTATTTTTATAAAAGAAAAACAAGCTGCTTAATGCAATCAAGAAATTGATACACCGATCTGAATAAAACATATAAGCACAATTAACTTTGACATAATACCGTGATCACGATCTCACTTTAATTGATTTAGTAATTAATAATACTGGGAACTCTATTTCTAAAAATCATGTACCATATCTAGTCAACCACATGCCCCACCATCTCATGCTAACATATTATTTGCTCAAACCTGTTTTGAGTTAAGGGATTAGGAGTTTAATTCTACAATGTCAGTAAATCAAGTATACAGAAATAGACTATTGGAAGGAAAAAGTTCAGTATTAATTTCATACGGGATCGATTAATCTCACCTAAAAAAGGTATATATGAGATATCCAGACAAGGAATTTTAATTTGTAAAAAGAAAAATCTACCTTGACAATTGCTCTCCTTACCTGTAACAACATCAAAATTAACACCCTTTTTTTACAGAAACAAAAAAACTTTGAAGTTCATCATTGTTTACCGGTTTTTCCATCCTTCCTAGTTCAAAACAAAAACATTCGCTAATTGTAACTCTCATCAGCGTAGGTAGGAATACATATGAAATGAGTGAAGCAAAAAGGGGGAAAACTTATAATAGAGCCAGACATTAGTTAGATGCTAAACTTAATACAAACTTAACAGATGCATAAGGTTTAATTTGAAGTAAGTCTTTAACACACGAGTATTGGCGTGAATCAGTGTATTTATAATATATGATCTTATACGGAGAAATTAATGAGGCATCGGGTGCACATAAGATATAGATATAGATTGAGATATATAAATATTGAATGACAGGGATTATATGATATGATATGTATTAGAGCTGTTGCTTCTTGTTGCTTCCGCCTTGCAGTATTGTCACCATTCCACAAGGACAAATCACGTACCCACCTCTATTCACATGCGTGCCCATTAATCATCACAACAAAACAATATCCTCCATACACATATCCTGCTACTACCTTGTCTCTTGCCTTCCATAAAAGTATTTGTTGCTCTGAACTCTCCTAGAGCCTTTTAGATTCCATTAGTGCTTCAGCTAGTTTTCCCCTGTGACCCCCCAAATTTCCCTCCACAACCTCGAGCACAATGCTTTCTTGGACCCTTATATATGGACCGTACTCATTCTAGACGTTCGTTTATTGTATAATTCATGCATCTATCTGTCTACTCGGATGCCTCTATCTTTTATTAATCCACTAATATTAATTTATATTTTTCTCAATCGTGATTTCTGAATTAAAGCCCACAACGGCTCTATATTTTGTCATATAGAACAGTTTGAAATTAAATTAACATCTCATAATTATGTTAATACAATTATCATGAATCTATACTAACAAAATCATAAATATATTATCATTAGTCAAGATTTTTAATATTTATACTAATAAACATTTTTTTATTAAATAAAAGTTATATCAAAAGAAATAATTTTGATATTCAACATATTTTATGATAGTAAATATATATAGATATATTTATTTAGTGACCCTGAGTTTTGAACTTTTAAGATAATAAATAGAAAGGTCACGAGGGTACTGTAGTAGAGCGAATAAAACTGAACCTCCAAAATTAAAGGTGCGGACATGATATATATATATATATATATATATATATATATATATAATAAAATTATTTTATTTTAATGTATACTTTAAATTATTTTTAAATATAAATAAATATTAGTTACAAAATTATATATTTATTAATTTTTAATATATATTATTTAATATTTATAAAAATTATTAAATAAAATAATTTTAACAAAAATTAGTTTAAAAATAACGTAATTTTTGCCGTTACTTAAAATATGAAATACGTTATATTTATATTTAATTGAATAACACATAGCAACCTCATAAAAATACTAGGTAATGCAAGTCAAAATCAACATTGACAGTGTAAAGATTTTAGAAGAATGTCGATAATAGATCATTTTTAATTATTAAATAGGATTTATTAAAAATTATAAAATATAAAAATATTAAATTAAAAATAAAAAAATGATGCACATATTTTATAATTTTTAATAAATTTTAACTAATAATTAAAAATATATTAAAATGTTCGTTCCTTTTAATGACTTGCGCTTCATAGTAAAATGGACAATGACGAGTAAGACTTGGTTAAGCGGCGGGAAGGTTCGCAATCAACATAAAATATTTATTAAAAATAAAATTAACAAAATTTTTTAATATTTAAATTAAGTATCTCATATTTTAAAAAATAAATGAGAAAATTTCTGAATAAATAAGATATACAAGTTAATTTTTTTTATAAATATTTATTTGATTTAAATGTGTCATAAATACATGACACACATTACAAAATTATACCAGCAAGTTGTCTGTTTTGATAAACAGGCCCGTGGCAAATGATAAATGTTAAAAAATTAAAAATAATTTTTATTAAAAAATAAATATTTGAATTCATATTTTCTTATATAATTTCTAATAAAAATATTTTGTTATTCTCTGTCAAATACTAATCATTATATTTAAAAAAATTAATTCGTTAATTAATGTTTCTAAAACACTACTCATAAAAAAATACAAGCAACTAACTGATCAATAACAATAAAACCAGTA